GTACATTGTTTTATTAGACATAATGCTACCACTTAATAGAAAACAGTATAGGGTAAACAGAACTTTTAAATGCACTGGGAAAGCAAAAAATTCATTCGACCCACTTTACTGCAACATTTGCTCTACTGCAGTAGTCTGGAACCAAACCTGCATGTCTTTGAGGTGCACCTGTACAGGGTCAGGGTCAGAGAAAGCCTAATGAATGGAACGCAGAAGCTGCGAAAGGGTGGGCCTCCAGTCGATTGAACCCACTTTTTTAGCTTAGCTTCCACACAGTAATTTATTATTTTAACTTTAGCGCCTCATTCTCCATTTTCTTGGGCCCTGTTGCCTCCCCTGTGCAGTTTCCAGCACATGAACCGCCTCTGTCCTCCTGCAGGCTGCTGCGAGCCCAGCAGAAGGTGGCGGGCTGAATGGTGCTTCCACTTGGCTCAGCACGTACAGGGGTTTCTGGAAGAGCCAGAGAAAGTCTTTCACTCACCATTTCTCCTCCAATTTTACCAGGCAAAGGCTGCCATGTGGCCTGCATGCACTTGGGAAGTACATACCCAAGGGAAGTGCTGGCCTCTAATCACCCCCAGTCCCAAGTCAGCAAAGACAGAGAGACTGGAGGGTCTTTCATGCTCACTGATCCTCCAAGGATCGTCCGAGCTACCTGGGACATAGCACACTCCAAGGACAAGTTCCACTATGTGGGGCCCATGCGGCAGGAAGGGCTCCCACTTGCCCCACAAGCATCCTTACACTCCTGGTTGAGAAATGCCCAGGCCATGGTGACCAGGCACACACTGGTTCAGGCCCAGGCCTGGTGAATACATGAGGCATAGTGCCCTGGGAGGATTTCAGGTGCAGGACAGAAGTGTGGGTACAACTTCAGTGGGTTCTGTGCATGTCCTGCGGATGCTCTTTATCAGGCAGGTCCACCCTCAGCTGGGGGCAGCACTGTAGCTCTCAGTTTTGCATATAAGTTTATCCAGTCAAACACCCTTGGCCAATAGGGGTGCTTCACCCAGAGTCTGGGAGGTTGCACAACACCCCCTTCCCTTGGCAGTAGCCAATGGCTGACTGATAGTGAGTTAAAAGCTCTGAAGTGTGGTCTCCACCTTGCCTCAGGAGAAGATGACCTCCAAAGCAATTCAACTCCAGAGGGTGACATTGGTCATGTAGGCTTTTTCTGAGACCACATCCTACTTATCTCCTTTTGCCTACCCCACTTCCCAAAAAGACCCGCTCAATAAAGTACGTGCAACCAGATTTTCCTTTCAGGCTGTACTTCTGGGAAACCAACCTAAGACACTCACTTTCTGCAAGACAGGACAGACCACTGGAGAATCCAGAGCACCTGGGCCTTCAAACACACAGACAAGAGTAAGATGATGATGGAACTCTGATCGAGAAGAATGGTGCTCAGACACCGAGACCTCAGGATGATTGTGAAGACCTCAGGATGAACAACCAACAGCCCTTACAACCATTCTGTCCCCACACAACCATTCTGTTGTCTCACTTTCAGTACAGTATTCTGTAAATTGCATGAGCTATTCAACACTTTATTATAAAACAAACTGTGTTAGATGATCTTTCCCAACTGTAAGCTAATACAAGTGTTCTGAGCACCTTTAAGGTAGGTCAGGTTAAGCTATGATGTTCTGTAGGTTAGTTGTATTTGATGCATTTTTTTACTTTCAGATATTTCAACTGTGACAGTCTCTGAGTTGAGCAAAGTAAAACATACTTGAGCTAACAGCTGGTGAGTTGGCAGAGAAGGTTACCAACAGGCCTGAAAACCAGATCTGAGGCAAGAAAGGAGCTTCAAGGAGGGAAACTAAGTGACTAAAAGGAAAACAAGATGGTGATTATGTTGTAGTTGAAGGCTTATGGAAGGTTTCTCTTTCTCTGTTGTCCCCATTCTCTATATAATAATGTCATTATGTATATAAAAGGATACTTTGAAAAGGACCTAATGAAAATACTCAATGGAGCACTTTCAATAATACAAAATAGCAAAAAAAAATCAGGAATTTGTCACATAACCAGCAATGCTTGGTACAATCAGAGGGATTCAAAGAGTCTGGCAAATTAGCCAGAGGCTTCAGTCCCTGAATGGAGTGGGATAGGAGGCAGCCCTGTAAGCTCCTGCTCAACTCAGAGACTATCACAGTTGAAATATCTGAAAGTAACAAATGCATCAAATACAGCTAACCTACAGAACATCATAGTTTAGCCTGGCCTACCTCAAAGGTGCTCAGAACACTTGTATTAGCTTACAGTTGGGAAAGATCATCTAACACAAAGTCTATTTTATAATAAAGTGTTGAATAGCTCATGCAATTTACAACTACTGTACTGAAAGTAAGACAACAGAATGGTTGTGTGCAGACAGAATGGTTATAAGGGTTATTGGTTGTTCATCCTCCTGATCACGTGGCTGATGAGGACCTGTGCTCACTGCCCCTGCCCAGAATCACATATCACATATCACTAGCCCAGGAAATGATCACAGTTCAAAATTCAAAGTACAGTTTCTACTGAATGCATATTGCTTGCACACCACCACGAAGTCGAAAAATCGTAAGCCAAATCATCATGAGCTGGGGACTCTCTATACTTACAGGCCATCTCATAGAAAACTTCTCTCTCTGAGGCTCAGACAGAAATGTGGGCAGTTTAGATGCTCTCTACAGTTTCTCTGGCCCTACAATTGTCTGATTATTTGATGCTTTAAAATCAAGAAATAGGAAAAGTAAGCCAGGAGCCATTGGCTCAGGTTATGTGGTGATTTCAGTAAACTTCGGAGCCTGGCTGAAAATTCAAAGGATGAGCAAAAACTCCCCCAAGATCCAGGAGAGTTTTAATTTTCTTTGTTCTTCATCTCAGAGATTTAATAATGAACTCCTTGGATGAAGAGGATATTTTCCTCCCAGGTTTAGAAGACTGCAGATATATAGCTTGTTTGCATGCCAACACTTAAAAAATCTCCAGAGGAGATTCTTCAAAAGCCAGAAGCTGGCTATACTAAGAACAGCATGACTAAAAATAAAGAAAACATTTTTAATGTCTGATTGATGGAAGACTTACCTGTGAAGTTAAGGGAGAAATCACAACCACCAAACACCTCTGAGAAGACACTTACATAAGCAGTCACACATTTGCAGTAAAACTATGGATCAGACGCCAAACAAGTTTTGAAGTACTTAGCATGTCTCTGATGCATCAGAGATTAGGAATTTTTTCTCCCTTCCTCCTAAGAAGCTACAAAAGTCAATTAAAATCCATCAGCTCCTCTCAGACAAGAAAAGGGGAAAAGCAGGTTGTTACTTCAGGAAAAAACTACAGCAATTGAGTCTCAGAGGAAGTAGCATACAAATACATCCAAAGGGATTCATTTGAAGCCAGACGTTTTTAATAACCAGCTTTCTCTTTCTTATCCATATATCAGGAGAACAGACAACTACAACCAGGACGAACATGTATCGCCTCCAAAGTATGGACTAACAGCTCTCTTTCACATGCAAGACAAGGCTGTAGTCAAGGATATGGAAAACTGAAAGCCTCTGCTATAGAGCCAGAAAGAAGACCCTCCAGGCACCTAAGGCACTAAATCCAATATGGAGTTAGCTGACATAGCACGGCCTTATTTCAGGAGGCACTTTCAGAAAATAAAGTTATATGTAGTTACAAATAATGAAGAAGGCTGCTCTGAACACCATACCTGCATATATGCAGAGACTAATATCCAAACAAACTTAAAACATACACACACACACATTTGGTCCTCTGTAATGTCACCACACCTTAAGCCTTAACACTGACCCAGCCCAGTTACAGGTAAGGAAAGGGAAGAGCAAAAGGGTATCAGGGAGGAAGCAGGGGACAGGGGACCACTTCCTTCTTTGCATCTCTATCAAGATCTGGGCAGTGAGGTGTGGGTGGGGTCACACCCTGGGCTGTTTCTACCCAGTGCATCCTTCTCTGTCTGCAGGATGAGACCCCATGCCCTACCCAGCCAAGAGTGTAGCCAGGTTTCCCAGTCTGGGCTGGGAGGCAGAGGGGATGGAGGTGGCAAACAGGCTCTAGCGTCATTAGTTTTTGGGGTTTTCCAGGTCACATTCCCCACAATGAATGCAGATGCCCCCAGGAAGTCAGGAAAAGAGGTGTCAAAAAGACTTGAGTTTTGAACACCAAAGCTATCCCCACTCCGTGGGCAACCTGGGGGTGAACCACCAACAATTCTCTAGTGTCTCATTTCTCATCTGTAAAATGGATCCCTCGCGTTTCCTCCGAAAGACCTTTCATCACAGGTTTATGAAGGAATACGATTCGACTCCCACACTTCTGCATAAACATAATTCCCACACCACTCTGGCGCCTGGGATGAGCTCTCCGTCACTGGACAAACTCAAGAAACCTACTTCTCCAGACTAGATATTTGCAGGGCCTTGACCACCTCCTCCCTGGAGCCCTGAACAAGAAGGGTAGGACCACGTGGCCCCCCATTCCTGGCCCAGCAGCTCCGGCGCATTCCTGTCCCTAAGAGAGGAGTCCTGAAGCCCCCCTTCCCAGGTCGGGCCTTCGCGGGGGCCCCTGAGCACTGGCCTGCTCCCTCAAGTAGGAGCTGGGGCCCGCTTCTCCAGAGCAACCACGCAGGTCACGGCCGCCAGGCCGGGCTCTCTTCCCGCCCGAGCAGCGTGGAGCCCGAGTGGCGCCAAGCGCAGTGTCGAGCAGCGAGCAAGCAACCGGGTCACGCGCGAGCCGCCACTCCGGCCGTGGCCGCCTGGCGGCCTCGCGGGCAGCGCGCGCCGGCGCACCTGCTGGGGGCGCGCCGGCCGGCCTCCCGGCGGCAGCCCCGGCCCAAAGGCCGCGCGCCGCTGCAGGCCGAGCGGACCAGCGCCGGCGGCCGCCGCCGGCCTCCCTCGCGCCGGCGCACCTGCAGCGCGCGCCCGCCGGCCTCCCCACCCCGAGGCGCTCCCTCCCCGCCCGACGCCGGCCGCGCGCCTCACCAGCGGTAGCAGCCCTCCGAGGCCTCCAGCGTGAAGTTCACGCGCGTGGCCCGCGTGAAAGGCAGCAGCACTTTGGGAATGTTAAGCTTGGCCGCCGCGGCGGTGGGCCCCAGCGCCAGCAGCCCCGAGAGCGCGAACAGCAGCGGCGGCAGCCCCCGGCCCCGCGCCGCCATCCTCGCCGCACTTCACCTCCGGCGACCCGGCGCCTGGCCGCCCGCGCGCGCCCCCTCGCGCCCTCCTCCCCCGCCCGCGCGCGCCGGGCCGGCAGGTGATAAGCGCGGGAGGGAGGGGCGGGGCCAGGGCCGCGGCCTAGGGCCACTTCCTGGGCCCCGGCGGGCCGAGCGCGGGGACTCAGCGGGTTGAGCTGGCGGGGACCGGGGACCCCACCCAGGCCCCCCGCCACGCAGCCCGGAGAGAGGGGCTGGGCGCGCGCCCCGGGCCACGGCGGGGGATGGGGCCCGTGACCGAGCCACCGTCAGGGGGTGGGGAGAATGGGTGGAGCGCGTGCCCGTGTAAAGACAGCCTCAAAGTGCGCGCGCCCGCGGGCCACCCCTGGACCAAGTGGAAAGCCCCGGGCGGTTTTCTAGCTCCCACGTCCATACTCGGTAGCTTCAAACTCTACGGCTGTTCTGGGCGCCAGTGCGGAGCCTTCCAACCACCCGCGCATTCATTCATTCGGCTGTGCTCTGTGCCCGAGGCGACTGAGCCGGGCCTGAGGACCGCGCGAATGAGGCCGCCAGGTTCCCGCGCTTGTGAGTTCAGTCAGGGAAACTGACCATCAACACCCGAAGGGACAGGCACCCAGGAAATCTAGCATGAGGGGCGCCAAGATGCGCCCCATCCTGCTCCAGAAGAACGACCCTGGGCTCCGCCAAGGGCCGGATATGTACTTCCTCCCCCTTTAACCTCCTCACAGCTTTGCCAGATGTCGTTGTGATCATTTCTGAAGGAGAAAACAGCGACTGAGCGGCCTGACGATCACTCAACTGAGGAGAGTAGCGCTGGGGCTTTCAGGTCCCAAAGCCCTTGTTCTCTGCGCTGCACCCACTGTCTTCCGAAGCCGTAGGGAAGTCACCCAAAGGGCACATTTAGAGCACCCACACTGCCAGAGCACACTCTACCCCTGCACCCTCGCCAGCTCCCGCAAGACAGAGAACGCTGAGCATCACTGCATTCATCTACACACAGAAACCTTAGACCTTAAATTCTGTCTGCATTTTGTGCTCCCTGGTTTGTCTTTGTCGTCCATTTCACGGGGGAGGGAGTCTCAACAGGCACAAACATGCACCAGATGAAATGTTCATCTGTTGCAGGGAGGGCCCAGCTCAGTAGGATAGGAAAGGGGCGAGGAGGTTGTATAAGGGTTCCAGAAGTGTGCACTGAATTGTAACCAGAAAGGCACACTGATGCTACTGCCTGACAAGGAAGGACAGGCTGGGAAGGCTTCTTGGAGGAGGTGGCCCCTGGGCTGGGCATAGACACCTCCCTGGGCTTTAGAGAGGCCCAAATGGGTTTGAGTTTGCCGCTCAGGGGTCAGGGGCTTTTGGATGGTGATAAAGGGTGTTTGGGGGTCACCTTCAAAGCCTGTAGGCCCCAGACCAGGCAATGTCTGCATTAGGAGAAATCTCTATGGATCCCAGAGCTGGAGGAGGGGGGGTTCCCTGGGTAGAACAAGGTGCTGTCGGGGAGGGGGAATTCCAATGGGTTCTCTTCTCTGAAGAAACAGAAGAGTGTCTAGAAAGAGCAGCCCCAGAGGAGGCATCTGTGAGGAAATCTTAGTATATTTGTTTGCGCATTTTATTGATTCATTTTCAAATAACATAGTCAGATGCCTTAAACTATAAAGGCTCAAAAGGGCTCATAGTAAAAGAATAAAAGTGATTACCCCTCACTGTACCATCACCCAATACCCCCACCCCCATAGGCAACCAGTAATTTCTTCTTGAGTACACTTCCAGGGAAATCTTATGCATATGCATGTATATATTTAAAAATTAAGATATAATTCATGTTCTGATTCTACCCACTTAAACTGGCAAACCAGTAGTCTTGCCAAGCAGGCAAATGAATAAATAAATGGGTCAGGGCATTGGGGGCTGAGGTACCCTGGTCCAAAGGGGTCATAAGTCACTGTGGACCCATCCTTCCAGACATTCTGATTATTGAGGAGAAATCAAGAACACAGACCTTTAAGTGAAACATCTTAATTGGAAAATATGGCAATTAATTCATTAAAAACAAACATATACATTCTTGGATATTTATCCCAAAAAAGGAAAACTCATGTTCACATAAAAACCTGTACATAAAATGTTCATAGCAACTTTATTTGTAATAACCCCAAACTGGAAAAAGCACAGAGGTCTTTCCATGGGTGGTGGTTAAACAGACTCTGGTTCATCCATACCAAACAATATTGATTGCCCGAGGTAAGGACCAGGCCAGGAGAGGGTGTGGGGAGATTTGGCTATCAAAGGACAACAGAAGAAATCCTTGTGGTGATTGAAATGTTCTCTACCTTGACTGTATCTATGCCCATTTCCTAGTCGCAATATTGTCCTATGGTTTTGCAATTTGTTACCCATGGGGGACGTGGGTAAAGGGTGCATGGGCTATGTCTGCATTACTTCTTACAACTCATGTACATCAACAATCATCTTTAAAATAAAAAAAGTTTAATTACACAAACAAGCCTACAGAAATAATATGGGTAGAAACAGCTTGCTGACCACCTGTATGCTTAATTTGAGATAGTCAGGAAAACAACCAATGGGAAACAACTAAATGTTGGATAAAACATTTTCCATTTATGATTTTCCCCTTTACATTGTCTTTAAACTTGCCCCCCGCCCCCCACACACACACCATTTCAGTTGCCTATGAAACTGGTAATGGATAGTGTCTGGGCCTCACCAGCCACCTTCTCTGTGTGGTCCATTTCTGCTCCCTGCTATTGGGCCCCCTTCTCTGGGCATCAAGTGCTTTATCTGAAATTCAAGGAGACTGCGGGCCTAAGCAGACCATCTTGCCAAAGACATAGAGAAGACCCTCAGATATGGAAGGGACCCCATAGGGTCCCTGAGATACTTGCTAGCACCAGTGTTCCCAGACTTCTGTCATCTCCTACCACCCCAAAAAAAATATCTGAGTACTACCTGTACTATTTCCTATTCATCTTTAAATGGAAAGGTTTATGTATATTTATTTCAGAAGAAAACTGTCACTTCTATAAACAAAAAACCAGTATCAATTGCTAAAGAAATAGCCAAAAAATAAATACAACAAAACAAAGGGATGCCATCAAGTTACAAATAGATACTGTTCCCTGCCAAAGGCTCAGAGTCCAAGGCCTGCTCCCCCTGTTCAGTGGGGAGATGCCAAACACTAGACAATATCAAAGACAGCACCCACTCAATCAAGGTGACTTCCTCCTTGAGGGGACAAGGGTAGAAGAGGATTTAAAAGGAAAGTCACTTTCCAAGTGGGATGTTGTCATGTTAGAGCCTATATACCATCTTTTTGTAACAAAATATGTTAAGTTCTTACAATGGAGAACCTCAAACATCCACAACAGTGGATAGAATAGTATAATGAAGCCCCTTGGCCACCTAGTTCCAGGACCACAATCCACCGCCAGGCCAGCTCCTTCTACAGCCAGCCCCAGTTCATCCCGTACCATTTTGCAACAAATCCAAGGCATTCGATCATTTCGTCTGTATTTCCCTGTGTGTTAATCTAAAAGGTAAGGACCCTTTATATGTACACTATAATCACAGTACTATTATCACATCTAAAAAACCAGCAATTCCTCAGTCATAAAAGGCAGTCCAAGTTCGAATTTCCAACTGTCGCATAAAGGTCACAATGTTTTCTTTACAGTTTGGGTTTTAAGAACTAGGATCCAAGTAAGGTTCAAATGTTGTAATTGGATGAAATGAGCTTTTGATCTCTAAGTTTCCCCTCCATCTCTCCTTCTCCCTTGAAAGTTCTACGCTGTCACTTTACCTCTGGAGTAAAAGTTTGTGTCGCTGAGCCCCTCCCGCTGAGTCCCGCGTTCCCCGTGCCACACGCTTGCAGGCACCGCCACGGCGGCCGTGGTCGCCCTGCTGCGCATGTCTGCCGCTAGGTTTGGTCACGGTCCCCAGAAATGTGGGAAAGAAGGGCCCAAAGCGAACCTTCCACAACTTATCTGAGCTGGAAACCTTGGTGCTTGGGAAAATAAAAAATAAGAGACAGAGAAGGAACATTGGAATGGCCTCAGCCTTTGCCAAACGCTTTCTAAAACTTCACGTGTAAGACAGCGGCGCCATTTAATTACAGAAATTGCTGCTTCTTGAATGCCCAGACATGCTGCCTGCCTGTGGGATCCGATTTCTGTTTGTGCATTTACTCTCACGGTTTTCTCACATTTGCCACATTCCTCCTCTGCCAGGATCAGTGAGCATTTGCTTCAGTCAGTTAGCTTCCCACGGGCTGAGGGACCCCTTCATCTTCACCTGCCCACTCCCTTTGTCCCCATAGGCGGTGCTGTGGAACAGTGGCTGCAGAATAAGCAGAAGCTGAGGCAAATGTGTGTTTGTCCCAGTGGGCTAAGCCTGACACTGCAGCCCTGGATGGACACCAAGGGAGTCCTCAGACATCTCCAGGCCACAAAACTGGAGGAGGACAGGTCCCACTCCTGGCTTCTGGGACCTTTCCAGCCATCCAGGCAGCTCCACATTGGTGCCAGAGTGATCAACACAGATCCTAGCACACCCCTTGCCTGGCTCGTCCTCCAAGACTCCCAGATGCCTTTGAGAGAGAGTCCGAACTCCTCCTCCGTATGGTCCTCAGGCCCTCCACAGTGTCCGTTAATGCACAGTGTCAGCCCTGACTTGTACCTCCCATACCTGCTCCTCCAGCCTGCACACGCCTGGATATTTCATTCTTCCATTAGTGCACCTAGGCTGTCTGACTCCTGGGAAGATCATTTTTTAACACTCTTCTTTTATAAGACAAAGTATTTGGGTAATAAACATTAAATATAACATAATCATGGTTGTGAAAAATAACTCTTTCATTGTTTTATTGAACTTTGTAAATATAAGCAAGTCAGCAAAAAACACAATAATAACAATAATAATAATTATAATAATAAATATTACAGCCAAAAAGGGGTAGGTGGTGGATTGATACTTTTTAATTACATCTACGTATTTTTT